ATATCCCCTTTAATCTCATTACATTTCACTCCGATTGACCCACGCATTCCGGAAGTATTTAAACGCTCCAGAAACCCTATATATTTATTTATTTATTTATTTATTTATTTAACCAGAAACCATACAGAAGAAAAATTCCAATTACATGGCACTGGGGCTCTGAACAAATATTAGGACTTAAGATCTAATTTTATTTATTATTGAATTTAGGGGATCGTGAAAAAAGTTGATATCATTATCTGAGGATAACTTATTTAAAGCGATCAAGATCTTAGTAAGTGGGGAAGTTGTGTTGTTAACTACAAAAATAGTATTATTTTGCCTTAGCTTAACAAATGGTACCTTAAGCTTAATTTCTTGAAGTAATTCGGAAGAGTATAACAAATTGTGTAAAATTTTGAAGACAAAAATTGTGGAGGCAATGTACCGTCGGGTTTCTAACCTCGTTATATCTAAGCCGAAAGTACTATTTAAGTAATTAAGCTGGGTACCGTAAGAGATCAAATGTGGATAATTTTGGGTTGACCTAAAAAACATTACTCGGATGAACTTTTTCTGCACTTTTTCGATCATGTCTGAGTATTTGAGAGTTTGAGGAGACCAGATACATGCAGCATACTCAAGCTTGGATCTAATAAACGCATTATATAAGGTTAGCATTGTCTGTATATTCGTGAAATTGAGTGTATTTCTGATAACGAAACCAAGAAGTTTGTAACACTCATTTGTTAGGTATTCAATGTGTAAGTTGAAGTTAAGGTTGGTGTTGAAAAACACGCCCAGGTCCTTAACGGAGGTGACTCGTAGTAAGACCTTTCCATTCATCTTATAGTCAAAAAGTAAGGGATTTTTCGATCTAGTAAAAGTAAGGACTTTACACTTATTGATATTTAGTTTTAGTTTATTTTTGATACACCACTTAATTACTGAGTTAATGTCCTCTTGAATATTTAAACAGTCACTTGGGGATTGGACTTTATTAAAAAGTTTTAGGTCGTCCGCAAATAGTAGTGCTTTCGAGTTTTTTATCACTCGCGGTAAATCATTTATGTATAAGAGAAACAGAAAAGGACCAAGAAGTGTTCCCTGGGGAACGCCTGATGAGGGATAAAATTCGGCTGAATTCACACCATTGAATTTCACTCTTGTTTTACGGAGAGATAAATATGATTTCAAGAATTTGACGGTCGGATTACTTACGCAATTTAAAACAAGTTTACGGAGCAAGACTTGATGGGATACTGTGTCAAATGCCTTCGCAAAATCTGTATAAACACAGTCCACCTGGGCTCTCTCATCCAAGGCTCCTGCTGAGAAATACGTAAACTGCATTAAATTGGTAATCGTATAGGTATTTGGAGTGGAAGAAAATGTTGTTTTCAAAAATAAGAACATACACTGCATTATCAATCGTTTAGATGGATGAATCACTAGCAGAATGCGCGGTGGCTCAAGTTGAGCGGCAAATTTAAATACATATACTTGTGTTTTTTTTCCGCTAGCCAATGGTGACTGAAAAACATGTGTACGAAGCTTAGTTGCTAGGAGACCGATGCGCACTAGTACTGCAGCTTAAACTGCGGGTCGAGAGTATTTTTTTAATTAAATTGTTTAAATGAGAATAACGTGTAAATATTTAATTAAATTTATTCGACGGGTGCAGATTTATTAATTTATTATTTAACTGCACTATATATTTTGACTGATTATTGGATTAGACTGATGTTTTTTTTCTGAGGACATAAGGATTATTGCATTGTAATGATTGATTGTTAATGATTAAACAACTCAGCGTATGTAGGCATCTATACAAAATTAAAGCAAACAAAATTTCCTGTAAAATAATCGCTATGCTCATCATAAAATCCAATTTTATGAAATATGTTGTCTACTTTAATTTGATTGTAGTAGACGATCTAAAAAGGATGGATAATAACAAATTTAATTTACATTTTTACAATTGTACCTGTTATTGGTTATTAAATTAAATAGTAATTACTGTCTATTCAATAGACGCCAACTAAACAGGAAAATACCAATGTAATTAACAATAGGTACTGAATCGTTGCTGATTTCTTTTATACTTAAGTAATGTTTTCTAATTATATCATGTCCACATTTTATACAGCCAATAAGAAAGAAAATTAAATGTGACAACCGCGCAAATATTTTAAACCGAAATTCTATAAAGAATTCTGTAAATTTTCAATACGCGCCAATATTTAAAGAGGCGGTTAGTTCTGGCCACCTCTACGCGAGGGCCCGCTTTTGGAGTCCTAGCGGGCGAGTTCTTATAGCCAACACGCGTTTATACCATTGCGCTGTATCTCTTATTATGGATACTCTTTGGTAGGACACTTGATTTTCTGGAAGCTGGCTCAACAGGAACAGAATTTATAGGACTTCGAGTGAATCGGGAACAAGAAAAACTGTGGGCTCAATATAATAGAAATCAACATATTTCATTCCCTAGCTCATGTATCGAGTTCGGACTTTTCACTAGACTATTCCCTATGACTGAGATGTGTAGCAAGTCAATATAACTTTTTTCTATGGTTAGGTTAGAATTTGTACCCGTCTACTACTGCTGGAGAACTGGTTTTTAAAGTGGCACCCCCACTTTTCCCGATTGAAATTGTATTAGTTGCACCAAAAACTATGAATTAAAGACTAATTGGTGATTGGTGCCCAAAAGACACTAAAAGGACTGATTTGTAGCCACAAACATTTTTTGTAAACAAATTATATTGTGAAGTCGTCTGAGCCAAGGGGTATGTTGGGAGGGAATATCGAGATTACCTTGTGGTAATAAATTATTTAAATTATTATATTAGCGATACTCGTGATCCTTTACAATTTTGTAATGCTGTCTGCGTGTCTGTCTGTCTTCCTTTCCGAATTAGGTTAAGTTAGGTTAGATTTGAATTGTTTAAACAATTCATACTGTTCACATTTATAAATATACAAATAATATTATAAACAATAACTTAAATAAAATTAGTAATAAAAACATTAATAATACACAAAGTGTGTTCCAGATAGAACGCACCATAAAGAAAGAGCAATGTATTTTTTCGCGAAGGATCCAGGAGGCCTTTGAAATTAGCTAGCATCAGGCAAGTAGGGAATGCAATCCCGGTATTTGCGGGATCGTTATATGTCAAACCCGCGGGATCCTGCAAATTTTTAAATGAATTGAGAAATAAGCAAATTTGTGCGATTAATCGAATATTCTCGAACAAACACATCGTATTTCCCGGAAATGATGCGTCACACCCGCTTTTATGTCTTATCGTCGGTGACCAATCTTTTATAACGGCTCCATGTTTATCTGAATTTCTAGAATATTCACTACAATATTCCCATACAGCCACTGTACTACTAAAGTTATTATAAACAATCGACGAATTCGACACTTAATTCGACATATTGTATATAGGAATGCCGGTACATACGTTTAAATAGTTGCAAAATAAATCAGATTTTCGCACTCACTGGCTGTTCAAGAAAGTGAATAACACATACCTACAAGTTAACGCGTAATTATTGCATAAACCGCAACAAGAAAAATGTGCGAAATAATCTTAGATCATTAGACCATTTTCGAGATATTCACACTAAGGTTTTCACATCTCCAGTAGACAAATGTCTCGTCTAGACGTTCCAACTGCCCTTTGAGAGTACTCTCCTCCGACACTCCGTTCAGGGAGGTTCCAGGCAACGGATACAGGACCTAAGGGGGTGCTCTCAAGAAAACCCCTAAAGACGTACCCTTCTCCAACTACGAAGCAGGTGGAAAGCTTGACCAGCAGGATGGAAAGATTATTCGGCAGTCCGGATGTCGGCGAGTTGAGACCTGCAGCAAAAACACCATCACCACTAACTATGATTGGTCTATGTCCCTCACCAATAGTGACAACGGGCGAGAGTCCAGCCGGTGCTATGGAAATACTTCCCCAATTAGAATCAAATTGGTTAGATGAGTATCTGGGTCCTAGTGGAACTGCAATATTACCATCACCTCCCGGAGAGTTGGCACGCATCTGTGAAGAAGTCGCTCCCTTCATAGGAGGTGTAACTAACCTAGGGATACAAAGGTTACCCGAAGGAGTAGAACCCAAGGACTACGTACCTAAACCAACCCATAGCCAGCTCGAAGGAGTCCCTCCTTTGACCAGGAAACAAAGGCGCAATCGGAGGAGAATTTCCATCCCGGTGGGAAATGGACAATTCGTCCGGATAACTCGCCGAGAAGCCAAGACGTTAGGCGTGGGACGTTTTAACCTGGATCCGTTTCCCCCGGGGAGGGATGATATGTAAGGTAACAATGTACCCGTGCCTTTATTTATGGGAGCGTGTAAACGCTCCTTTACAAATGCACTACATTGACATCAATAGATGTCGCTAACTAATCATTAATGACATTAATGATAACATAATCAAGTGTCATTTCCACTTCCTAGTCGTAGTCCTAATCATGGCTGTATAAAAGGAGGATCCCTTGAGTTTAGAAGACACTTCTATCCTGTCATTTGATGACCAATAACCTGAATCCAGACCTGAAACTGATAATCATTCATCCGATTTCCCGTTTGCATTCGATACCGTTTCCGTTCCGCTTATATCCTTAACCCACCTGTCCCTGCACCCTTAACCTCGCCATTCATTAGAAATCATCCAGTCCTTGAAAGACGAACCCTCAAACACCCGGAAGTTCGATACCTGTGGGGCCTGTGACCCGCATGTAGCCAGCTCCCGCTTGCTTGATTTAGTCGTAAGGTTGTGAACGTTAAGCGGAGGTAGTGGCCGTGTCACATCTTGCTTTTCGTTACCATACTATCACCAGTACCTTAGATGCGAAGTGAGTTAACGTACGGAAACTGGGAACTGTGGGGCCTTCGACATGCATTCCTCCAGTTTGTGAACGTTGATTTTGTTTCAACCTAGAGCGTGGTGTACTGGGGTCGTGGCCGTGTCACATCCTGTGTACCACCCCTAGCATAAGTACCATACCGCACTGACGGGCCGAGTATTCGGAAGTGCTGGTGTCATTCACCTGAAACCCGGCGGTACCAATCATTCGCACCCCGATTAATCGATAGCTTACCAACTCCCGGATAAAAACCCGCTAATCGATAAACTTACAGCTACCGGCCAAATTAAAGTACAGCTGAGCCGAGGCGATCAGCTCCGACATCTCGACACACACAATGTTTAATACCACTAGTAGATGTGTCTCGACCAGAGCTTCCACTTGTCCTTTATGAGTATTCTCTTTCGACACTTTTCGCTCTTAACGATTTGAGATCACCAAAGGATTGTGGTTGGTAGAAATTGATCGCTTTGGTTGAGACCTTAATTAGAATACAATCAAAAATAAAATAAATGTATACCCCCCCTCTCTACGTCACCCACTCATCTTGAAAAGAAGTCGTGGAGGAAAGTTTGTAGTTTGTAGAAACTAATTCCATTCGACGCGACGTTGATTAGAAAACCATGCATGTGTTTACACGTTCGGTGTACAAGAATGCATTTATAACAGCCTTAAAAGGGATTAAAATATAATAGTTAAGTAGTAGTTTATCACTCACAATTTATAATATAACACGGGAAATTATAGTAAACACCGGTCATTCTCGAACGCTTCCGAATATTCTAGAATGTTCTCGAAAAAACACGTCATATTTCCCCGACAACATGCGACAAATCCGCTTTCGATTCTTATCGGCGATGGAACGAATTTTTATAACAGGTAAATTTTTCATCTGTGAGCGCAAGCCTGTTGAGGGCCCAGAACAAGAGAGGGATAATCAATAAATTTAATAATAAATAAACAGTATAAGCAGTTTTATGTCCCGCACTAGTGGTGATTAAATGGTAATAGATAGGCGCAGGAGTAAGATGTGGAGGTTCAGTCTTCTAGATTAATATTTATTTAATAAGCTACGAGAATTCCAAAATACATTACCAATAAAATAAACAAATATAGCAAACGAGCTCCTGGTTATGGCTATAGCATGTGCAAAACCAAATTTTAAACCTGATGTTAGTTTTGCTTTTATTTAAACTGCATATGCATGAAATTTCACTTAATTGCTTCCATAAATAAGAAAGTTGGCACTGCGCATGCGCAAAACTAAATTTTGAAACTGGCGTTATATTTGCTTTTATTCCAAGTGGCTATGTATTAAATTTTATTTAAATACCTTCATAAATAAGAAAGTTTGCAATTCGAGCTGCGAAAAGGGCACTGTGAATGTTGATCGATTAGGCGCCATTTTTGGAATTGCGCTTTATATGGCTAAAGCTATAAGCTTATTGAATTTCATGCAATTCAGTTCATAACTCACGGAGATGTCAAAAGGGCCTTCCTTATTTTTTGGGCTACATTGCCAATTCACGAACTCCGATCTACAAATTTGATAAAGAATCCATCTACTAAATTTTATCGTAATCGATCCATTCGTTATCGAGATATCGTGCTAACGAACGGACAGATGGACAGACGCCGCAAAAATATAAACTCGCTGGGAGCTCGTTAATAATTCAAATATGTATACGGTATAACTCATATACAGTTAAGATTTTTAGTTTTTTTTACATGATTCTAGTGGTCGGGTCTGAATCATCGCCTTAATGATTCATTTTTTGCTATTAGTAGTGCTTTCCTTGCTATTGAACTTTTCATCAGTGGCCCGTACGAGAGTTTGGATTGCACTTGCGCATTGTAAAAAAGTAAAATTGTCTTTGTGTCGGTAACTTGGTTTAAAATGCAAAATTAATGAAAAACTTAAAAATTTAGTCAAAAATTGTTTGAATAATATATAAATTGTTAAAAATAAAAATCTAATTTGGGCACAAATTAGTCTTAATTCATAACTATTCATCGTTTATGGTTCCATTTCTTTTTCTCAATTTTCAAAATTGCCCTTTTTTTTACAGTAAAAATTTTTGTAAATAATGTATAAAAATTGTTTAAATAATGAATCTTTAATTTATAGTTTTTGATGCAACTAATAAAATTTCAATCGGAAAACGTAGGGGCGTAAGTTAGCGCCCCCACTTTAAAAATCTCTTTCCGACAGAATTAAGCCGGTACAAATTCTAATTTTGTGGGTTCAAATTAGTCTTTAATAGTCTTTAATACAAAAACATCTCTCGCTTTTTAGGGGAATTTTTGAAAGAAAAAACTTCCCCTTGTGTGATGGTTTTGTCCGTCTGTCTGTTCCCCATCTAACTTGAGAACGCAAAGAGATTCGTTGTCTGTATCAAACCTTCGCCAATCGAGTTCTACCAGTTCAAAGATCAGTGCTATTGTATATGAGCCGGATCAAAAGTTTGGTTTCCGAATAGGAGCCGAGTGGAAAAAATTCCCCCCTTGAAAATCGTATGCGATTCTTCGTATCTTATTGTTACTTTTAAGTGTCGTTGTTAAACATGAGAACAGGAGACATATCACGAATTTATCGCCAAGTAGGTAAGCGACGTAAAGATAGTATAGTGTGACAGAGTTTGTACATTAATAACATTCATTTAAACAAAATAACCAGACTTTTACTGCACTTAGAATATAATTATAAACACAGTTTAGTTGCTTCCTTATAATGAGGTACATATTGTGATGACAGATATCCTGAGTATTTTACCTACAAAGCTTTATAGCGCAATCCTATCGCGTTCCCTCGTAACTAAGTACATATAGATTATAGAGAATGCTGTGAAGGGCTTAGAACTGGCCAAGATGGTTTTAGAAACCTCTCAAGTGCGCCCGAAATTCATTTACAAATACGTTGACTAAGCTTTAGAAAGCGATGTGGTGCTATGTAAAAAAACCCGGAAAATGTGTTATTACGTTGGAGAGCATTTCATTCTCCTGCAAGCCTATAATACCCTGATTTTCAGAATTTTCTAACCATTTCCATAGTTTTAAGTGCACTCCACCATTTCTTTCGTAGAGATTTAGAGAGCATTCCATATTTTCTCCATGAGCTCTTACATCTATTTTTTCAACGGTGCGAAGTGCGAACCAAAGGATGCAATCTTAAAAGATACTGTTGGTTCCCTGTCTGACTAGAACCTATAATCCTATGCAAATCCGGACCTACATAATCAAAACATAAGTAGATAAATCAGTACACAAAGGGAACCTAATAGTACTTTTTTCCTACTTGGGGAGATACAGTTTACGAAATTCATCCCCATTATGCAAGTCAGAAAAAACGCAAATTTTATGTCCCAAAATAAAAGAGTAACGTGTTGATTTTATTAATTGACTGGTAACTAACACCTTATTTTAAGGGGACAAATAAATTTCAACCGAAATTCTGGGGTAGAGCAGGTGAAGTAGGTACAATAACAAAACTAGACTAGTAGGTATATAAGATTCTCACAAATCAGGTTGAGGTACCTATATTAAAATCGTTAACAAGCAGGTATTTCACAACTTCTGGATACAGCTCCTTACAGGGATGTTGGGTCATGCAGGGCGTGAACGAATCATGGGAATATCCGTAACCCTCCCCTAATCAGGATCACACGGGAAACGGAAATAACCGACTTACTGGTCACTTGTTTCGTATTCAGACAATTTGATTTTCGTCCATTCTATAGAATTTTGACCGTATGCGATTTGCATTTCAGCAGATGTTTTGATTTCGTTGGCCGAAGTGACGACAATAAAACATTTTGCCGACTTTTTGGACCTGTCGCACCGATATACCACATAACAACCCTCTTAAGCTGCCACCGGTAACGGAAACGGCTGCAAGAGTTTTTGCCACTTGTTCCCATGAATGGAACATCGGATCAGTAAAGTGTTTAAACTAACCGAGGGGGCGGTTTACTATCTCTACTAAACAGGACGAATTTAAATATTAAACTCATAACGGCAGGCAGCAGAGTACCCGGATGTAATATCAGGTTACGAATGCAGCCTAACTATAATAAGAAAGAAGACATAAATCAAACTCAAATGATGAAGATCCTTTCGAGAATAGTACTGTATTTCCTTGAGGCACGCTAGGGAATTTTTCCTCATAAATGCACATAAATCAATATTCTTTTTCCTTAATTTTCATATTACAATTATAATGTTGAGGAGCCGGTGTATAGAAAGTCTCAAGCGGAGTGGGTGGTTCACAAATTATTGTTAAAAAGGAGGTAAACACTGTCGCAGTGTAATTAATAACGCGTGGAACACATAATGTCAAAAATTAACAATTAAATTCTCTCAATTTGGACGTCGTTCTGGGGATTTCTTCTTGTATTTGCATTTAAAAGGCGTATGTCTTAATTTACGACTTAATTTTATACATACATAAGACAATATTCATGAAACTGAAAGAAGCTGTTTGTGTTTGACCATATGGCATTTGTGTAAAAGCACCCAATGAAATCGAAAAGGAATCGCACACCAATGAAAGCCGCGAAAAACTCTCGTCATTGGCATACCCTATTTTCGATTGTAGGGTATAGTCGATATGTAATTTTAATGACTACAATTTGCTGCGAGTGATAACCCCGCAATTACGGCTCGGAGTAATCTCAAAGGGACTTCCGGGTGCTTTTCAAGAAATTATCATTTATAAAGTATTCAGGCGGAAGTGACTTGAATGTCACCTCGCTGAACAATCTGAATGATTTTTGCCTCTCCATTATGCGCGCTCTTTAAGAAACACCGGTGGCACAAATTACACTAAAACCACGCTAGCTGAAATAAAAGAATTTGACCTAATGCTTTACAAGTTCCCACGTTTTTTGCTTGATAGCTTTTGATTTTAGGTTATGATAGTGCACAACTTTTTCTACTACGAATGTATTTAGATGCAAAGCGTGCACAAATGGGTACAAGCGATCGTTATAAATTTGTAGTTTTTAAACTGTCAATCAATGGTAATCCGTGTAAATTGAATAGATTTTGTAACTGACATCTATGCATTATATTTTATGATATGTGTATGAGTAACGCCAATTATTTTTGCGCTTAATTAATTGCGCAATCTTTAAATTCTTTGATTTAATCGCCATCGCCCGATGCCGACTTCCCTGCATGTTTTTATGGTTATGCCGTTGAGTTGGGATAAGTCGTAAGGATTAGCGTTTCGTAAATAACATTGTTGTCCAGTACTGAGCTCCTTTCACAACAGACATAATCATTTACAGG